TTAAGTGCCAGTAAATCCATTGATCCGGTAAATCCATCCATCCATTGATCATATGAATATATTTGAGCAAAACAAGGTCCCACCAGCCACATCTTTTCCTTCCAGTAGTTACACCAAACTCTCTACCCTTTGTTTGTAATAATTCTCCAATTTCATTGTCTTGCTCTGTAGGAAAGGCACCAATACGAAATCTAGTTGTATAAGCTTTCATGACTCCAAACACTTCCCTAACATTTTAAGGGGGCATAACCAAACTGGTATAAACACCTCCAACAGTACAGTTTGAAGAGGTTACAAAAGGTTAAATCCCCAAATCAATATCTAATAGTGCTGCATTGGCCCCTTCTACCAAGATTTTCTTTGGTGGTCCATGTAGATCCCCATATAGGAAATAAACTCCATCTCTCACCATTAGTTTAATCCTTTCAATATAACCCTTGAGTTTCTGTAATTCACCTTCAATGTCTATTTCCAAAGCAGGGTATATAGATTTGTATTGGTTAGCTAGAATTTTGAACCTCTAAGAGAAGCCATCAAAGTCAGAAACAAGATTGCACATCCTAAGTCCACTTCCAACAGCTTTGGAAGAATCAACAGGACCAATGTCCTTTTCTGTGGTACCCAAATACTTTCCTGCTTATTCTTGTCTCTGTTGTTCCAGAATACCATAAGCTGCCTGATGAAAACCAAATACATTATGATATAATAAGCCTCTTTTCTCAGCCTTCTAGTCCTTTTCCTTATTGAACATTTTTCTTTGCTTCTTCAAACAATCCAGGTGGATGAATTATCATGCCAATTCCAAAAAATGCAGTGACATTTGGATTACTTATTCCACTGGGTAAAAGATGAAAATCATATTCCACAGAATCTACAACAAGTGTATGGCCAGCATTATCTCCTCCCTGGCAGTGGCACACAATGTCAGCGTCCTGCGCTAGCAGATCCACCACCTTCCCTTTGCCTTCGTCACCCTGAGCACCACCTTCACCTGGTTTCCTCCAGACTGTGCCCTAAAGCGGCTGCAATCACCCTTGGTCAGGGAGGATGCTGCCAGGTTGGTCTTGGAGAACAATATGGCTTCAGTGACGCTGGAGAGTGTGAAGGAGACACCAAACTGCTCTGTATATGGGTATTTCTATAACCACTTCCAGCAAAATGTAAACTCTTATTAGTGAAGAGTGACCCACCTCTGCAACCTGAGAGCTCAGGGGGTTCTGCAGTATTTAAATCCTCAGGAGCTTCCATGCAAATGCCTTCATTTCATGTTTCAGGGGTCCAGTTTTTCTCCACCTGGTCCTTGGCCTTAGCATAAGAGCCCTGCCTTGGCAGAGCACTCAGACATCACTGGATCACTGGGCTCCAGTGATAAATTAGATCTTCAGTCTACTGTTCCATTGTGTCTGCTCTTCCACTGCAGGAAATAAAGTCTGCTTATAGGATAACACAGAGGCCCTCTGGCTTTCACAATTAGTCATTAATGGCTTGTTAACAATCCCTGGGCTCTCATTATCCTTCTGTAGGGCATCCATAAAACTTGGCAATAACCAACCAACTCCCTTGTCTTTGTAGGGATTGTTCACCCCTCCCCCAATCTCCCAAATACCTTAGTTTAGTGCATCTGCCACTGGGATAGTCTCTCAGGTCACTACTGGTGAAATCTTCAGCAATTGAGCTGCCACCTTGTGGATAGACTCTCTTTGCTTAACTCTCAGCCAAGCTGGCACCCACTCAAGCAGTGAGTAAGTCAGTCCCAAGTCAGTAAGGGTAAGAAAGATTTGAATAAACAATTCACAAGCTTGTATTTCTGAATGTAGGTGGAACCCTGAACCTTGGAATCTTAAATACTTATTAAGTATCATGTGCTTTATATGAAATATCTCACTTTTCCCTTTCAATTTGGCTACTGTGATGGAGGAACTTAACTGAATTAATTAACTAACTCAGTTTTTGAGACAGGATCTCACTCTGTCCCCCTGGGCTAGAGTGCCATAGAGTCATAGCTCACTGCAACCTCAAACTCCTGGGCTCAGGCAATCGTCCTGCCTCAATCTTCCAAGTAGCTGAGACTACAGGTACATACTACCATGCCTGAATAGTTTTTCTTTTTTTTTTTTCCTCTCTCTGTGTGTGTGTGTGTGTGTGGTGGCAGGGTCTTGCTCAGGCTGGTTTCAAACTCCTGGACTCAAGCAATCCTCCCCCTTGGCCTTCCAGAGTGCTGGATTATTGGTGTGAGCCACCACACTTGGCCTGAAATTAATTAATTAATTTAGATACAGAGTCTCATGTTGTCACCCTGGGTAGAGTGGCCATGGTGTTATCATGGCTCACAGCAACCTCAAACTCTTGCCTCAGCCTCCCAAGTAGCTGGGACTAAGAAGCCCACCCCAACCTATTTTTAATAGAGATGGGTGTCTCAGTCTTGCTCAGGCTGGTCTCTAACTCCTGAGCTCAAGCAGTCCACCCACCTGGGCCTCCTAGAGTGCTGAGATTACAGGTGTAAGCCACTGTGACTGGCCCTGAAATTAATTATTTTAAATTTAAATAGTCACAAGTGGCCAGGGGCAACCATATTGGATGATGCTGATCTGGAGGCTGCATTCTTCATTATTAAAACCCCAGTGATAATCCACACATCTTGATTTTTCCAGCATTTTATGGTTTCCAAAGCATTTTACCTAACTTGAGTCCTGTGATCCTTCTAACAACCTGATGGGGAAATGGAAACTCAGAGAAGTGAAGAATACTTATTCAAAGCTTTACAGCTGGAAGGTCTTGCTCTGCCTGGCTGGCTCCTGCTCACCTTACTGCATTGCACAGTCTCAACAAATAATGTCACATATTTGTAAATTCATCCACATAAATACGATACATTCACCTCTGGTATATCATTCCTCCCCACCATGCAGAACTTTAGCTCTCAGACCACTGGGGTTGGTGTACACTTCCCAGTAGGAAGGGTATGTTCTAAGAGGAGTAGCATTTCCATTCTCATATCACTTGTTCAGATCCTACCTCTGCCTTGGCCTTCTCACCCCTTAATTCCACAGTGTAATCTGATTATGTAAAAAATGTATACACATTTTAAGAAAGGAAAAAACTATATTAAGAGTGCTGTGGCATCACAGCTCACAGCAACCTTAAACTCCTGGGCTTAAGTGATTCTCTTGCCTCAGCCTTCCAAGCAGCTAGGACCATAGGTAACTGCCATAACACCCGGTTATTTTTTTGTTGCAGTTGTCATTGTTGTTTAGCTGGCCTGGGTCAGCTTCGAACCCACCAGCTTCAGTGTATGTGGCTAGCACTGTAACCATTGGGCTACGGGCACCAAGTCAAGAATGTGTATACAGTTTTTGGCACTTCTGTATTAGCAAAAGAAATATTTTCTGATTTGCAATTCACTGAAAACCCAAGAAACAATGGTTCTAGCCATATTCCCTCTTTTTTCTTTTTTGAGATGGAGTGTCACTTTGCCACCCTCAATAAAGTGCCATAGCTCTATAGCTCACAGCAACCTCAAACTGTTGGGCATAAGTGATTCTCTACCTGCCTCTAAAGTAGCTGCCTGAGGCCTGCCTCAGCCTCCAAAGTAGCTGGGACTACAGGCACCCACACAACTTCTGCCTATTTTTAGAGATGGGGTGTTGATCTGGTTCAGGCTTGTCTGAACTCCTGAGCTCAGGCAATCCACCTGCCTCGGCCTCCCAGAATGCAAGGATTACAGGCCTAAGCAACCACACCGGGCAACATATTCCCTCTTAAAATAACTTTCTATTTAATGTCTAATCCAACACTTTCTCATGAGGTCCTACCATGTGCTTGGCAGTGTGCTAGATGCTTACAAGAAATTCTAGGCATTTTCAGACAATATTTTGATTGTAATTTTATTTATTTCACACAAAGAATCAAACCTTGTCCAAAGTCACCATTCATAAAATCAAAAAATTTCAAGGTTTAAAGACAGTGAAGGTGAATGGTTCTTGTTTGTGTTACCTTTTGGTTGAAAGCAAGTTGCAAGTTCTTTCAAGGTCTTTGCCAGCTCACCTTCCTGTACCCAGGTTTTCATTTCAATTATAATTGTGGAATTGCTGAATTTTTATTTTATTTTATTTTAGACAATAAAATCTACATTGTGAAATACAAGCATTTGACAGTTCTAAAGGTCTGTCTCTACCTCTAAGGGTGAGTTTTATGACCATGACGTTGGACCAGGTCACATTTACAAGGGCCTCACATTTAAATTTTTGAAGCCATCTTCAAATAGAATTTGGAGGCCCAAAGGAAGAAAACATCAAAAACCCTTAAAATTCCAACTATTTCTCAGACAGCACCAACCTAAGGCGTGAATAGTTATATATATCCTATAACTATCCTCTAAGGAACACAGTGTAAGATTTATCTGTACAAATGAAAAGTTTGAATGTGTGAAAGTGTACATTTAATATATATGAGTTTTCTAACTCTGGTTTTTCATTATTTTTCAATCCACTACTAAAGCTCAGAAAATAGAAACGGTGAAAAATCAGTCTGCTTTAGCTCTGTTTTTATAGCCATAAGAGTGAATGAACCAGAGAAGCTGAAGGCGGTGCGGAACCCAGCGCCTACTGTTGCCGCTTCTCAGCTGCCCCAGACACTTTCCAACCACGCTAAGCAACCGTTACCTTGACAACGCAATCCTGTCACGCACCGCGGAGGTTGGCTCCCTCCCTTCATCCCAGAAACCACTGCGCTGTCTCTAAGCCTTTCGCCCCTCTCCCTCCCAACATGCAACGGGACTCAACATTGCGCAGCAATTGTCATCAGGGTGATTACAGAAATGCCTGTATATCCGCGTAGTTTAAGCATTTAAACTGTGCGTAACATATTGGAATGTGGGAAAAGTCTAGAAAGAGTAGTGTAAATGTTTTTTTTCAGAGTTGTAAATCTGGTGGAGGAACGACCCATCTTTCTCTGGATTTGCACAGGCACGTTATTGGGCAGCCCGTGCGAACAGGTGGCGTAGGGACCTCAGGGCGCTTGACGAGACACGCGCGAGAGGAAGTGGCGCTGTCTTTCGTAGCTGCGCTGGTAGACTGCTCGGCGTGGAGCCATGGGAGGCCTTGAGAGGAAGAAGGTGGGTGGAAGCTACGCCGGGGGTTCCAGGAGGGTAGGAGATGAGGATGGCGGGGCCAGGGATCGGCTCTTTCTCTGGCCTCGGGCCCTTGTGGAGACGGAAACGATGGGTTCAAGGCGACAGAAGATAGCCATGAGGAGTCCGAGAAATGGGTAAATAGTGCTCATACTGTGAAATTCGGGAAACAGAGTTCTTTATGGAAAGAACTGTGATGAAGAGTTGAGCTTAATGGCTCATAGCCTCATCCCCAGAGGCAGAACTGTGGGACAGATGTTTACTGGGAAGATGACAAACATTAGGTAGAGTTTGGTATAGCATCTTCACATTATTTAGTTAGTGTTGTCTTGAAAGTTCTTTTCCAGGCATAATATTTTCAGCTTACATCTGAAAGACCAGAACATCTTGTGTGAGTTCTGGGACATGGGAGTGCATAGCAAGCAAGCCTGGCAGGGGATACTAAGTACCAAGTCCTGTAGACAGGATACTTTTGCTGTGAAAGGAATTGGAAGGACATCAGCATAACTGGGATATAGTAAACCAAAGGAAGAATGGCATTTGCATGAGATTGGGGATTGGGCAGGGACTGAATCATGCAGGCCCTGTAAGCTGGGGGGAAGAGCTTAGATTTTATTGTAAGTGCAATACATCATCAGTTTTTCAGGAAGCTGTTCACGTTGGTGGAATGAAAAAAGACAGAGAAAAGGATGGGGATGATGAAGAAAAATGTTGTTGGCTTAAGTATTTCTTCCAGCTTCAAAGTTTCTGTTGTCAATTTGTTTCTAACTCAGTATACTATTGAATATCCAGCAGTCCTAGGCATTGGAACAACAAAGACATAAAATGGAAAATCTTCCTTTTGAGGTGCAGATGCAGATATGTCAGCAAATTATTACAGGTTTTTAAAGTTGGGTTTCAGAGCCATTTTGACATTTGGGTCAGATAACTGTTGTGAGAAAGGCTGTCCTGTGCATTGTAGGAGGTTAAGCAACATCTCTGACTCTCAACCCACTGAATGGCAGGAGTATCAACAACCAAAAATGTCTCCAGACATTACTGTACTCCTCCTGTGCATTCCCAGAGAGTAAAATCACCTCGTTTGGAACCACTTATCCCCTTATTGTTTAAAAGGATAAGCATGATGATAGAGATATGTGTGCCATAGTGCAATGGAAAGCACTTCTAATGAAAACTCAACTACTTGAGGCAATCTGAAACTCCTGTGTATCTCCAGGACTTAACATGGGCTGGATCCCCAATAGACAGTGAATGTCTGAAGGAAAGAATGAGTGAAATAGGTGCTTCGTGACTGTGAGGCTATTCATAAACATATCTCTCAGGAGGCTATAGCTGGACCTCACCAAAGAGGCCCTTGCTATATTATTCCAAAGGAAGATCTCATTTGGAAAGGACATGCTTGGTTACCATTGTAGGTTGTTTGGCATAGTGTACTTGTAGTCTTTATCAGGGACACAGATATGTGAGTGTGAGAAAGCCTCTTAGCATCACAGGCATCTGTATGATTGTACAAGACAATGTACTTCTTGGGGGTAGGTAGAGATCAGGCCTTTTGTCTTTATTGCCCCCATAACATCTAACTTAGCTGCTTTGAACAGTTGCTTAATTATAGAGGATCTTTTGTTGTCTGCTGGTGAATGACTATATGGCGAAGGAGAGAAGCTGTGTGGCTTAGAGCATGAGTGTTTGTTTTTATTTCTAAGAGTATGTGTTTTCAACCAAGGTGATGTCACCACTAAGTGAACAAAATTGGCTGGGTGGCGTATCTTAGATAATACAAGGGCTTTTGCTTCTCCCCCCAGAGGACTACATTACATAAACAGATCTATAACTGTGGTTACGATTTCGTGTGACTTAAATGAAATGGGGTTACAGGGATCAAATGAAATAATGTGTGGAAATCACTAATTGTAATGACCAGTACTTAGAGCTAGTGTGAAATGTGTTTAGCACAGCACCCTGACTAGAGAAACCTCATGGTCCCCAGCATCATGGAGATGTGTGTGTTCTTTATGCTGACAACTGCAAATGCAGTGCAGAAGACCTCATTCAGGCAGGTCAGCCTCCCTCCCTGCAGAGTTTCTCATCCTAGAAGCGTTTCTGCCACTTATCCAGTGTGATAGTTGCCTCTGGAATTAGGAATGTGCAGAGTTTGATATTAGTCACTATAGTCATTGCTAATAGAGAATTGTTTTTTCCTCTCCAAGTATGAACGAGGCTCTGCCACCAACTACATCACCCGAAATAAAGCCCGGAAGAAGCTGCAGCTGAGCCTGGCTGACTTCAGGTGAGGTTGGAGAAGAGTGGAATGCAGGAGGACCTCAGAGAGCCTGAGCAGTGAAATGCACAGTGAAAACTCAGCTGTATCCCTGTTTTACCTGGGCTGCCATACTCTGTCTAGAGTTCTGGTATTCTTCTTTCTTACCTGCCCTTGCTTTAGTGAGCTGTGCTTTGCCAACTGTGGCCAAAAGGAAGCTGGAGGGGAACTGAGTCATTGGGATGGGTGAGCTGGGTTGTTCTGGGTCTGTGTCACTCATCCCTCTCTTCTGGCAGAGAACATTCCTGATTCTCTAGGTAGGACTTCTCATACTTCTAGAGAAGTCAAATCCAGACTTCTTCTTTTTTTATTTTTGCAGTTCTGGCTGGCACCGGGCTTGAACCCACTGCCCCTGGTATATGGGGCTGGCGCCCTACTCCTTGAGTCACAGGTGCTGCCAAATCAAGATTTCTTTATGGCCTGTGGGTCTTGTCATCTGGCTGTTCCTGACCTGTTTAGGCTCACCTGGTTAATTTTTTGTCCTTCAGACATGCCCAGCTCTTTCCAACCTCATGACCCTTTGTCTGTGTTTTTGGGATACTCTTCCTTCTACCTTTTATGAGGCTGGACTGTTGATTTCTCAGCAGGGCCTTTCCTGATTCCCTATAGCTAAAAGGGTTACCTGCCTGTCAGCCCCTGTGAATGTCTTGTTTGTTTCCTTTCTGGTGGTTGTAACAGTCTGTATTTTTGTGTTTGTTGGGGGAACTTGTGATTGTTAGACTCTTGCAGTAGGATGTAAGCTCTCTAAGGACAAGGACCCTGTGTTCCCTGTTTACTGTTGGTTTCTTGCCCAGCATGTCCAGTGCTCTGTACCTTTAATGACATGACAAATGGCTTCTGTCTTCTAGGCGGCTGTGCATCCTGAAGGGCATTTATCCCCATGAGCCCAAACACAAGAAGAAGGTTAACAAGGGCTCCACTGCGGCCCGAACTTTTTACCTTGTCAAAGACATCAAGTTTCTCCTCCATGAACCTATTGTCAACAAGTTCCGGGAATACAAGGTAAGACCTGGTCTCTAGGGTCTGATAGGTACCTGTCACAGCTCTGTGACCCACTCATTGTGACCCTAGGCAGGTTGCTTACCTACTCTGAGCCAGCCTGTGCAGAAAGGGAGGTAATCCTGTGTCAGTGGGGTATTGCGAGGATTGTCTGAGATTACATGGAGGTATACTTCACTTTATTGCACTTTACTGTGCTTTGCAGATTGTTTTTTATAGATTGAAGGTTGTGGCAGACATTGAGCAGGTCTTTCAAAGACCTTTGCCAATAGCATGTGCTTGCATGTTTCTGTGTCACATTTTGGTAATTCTCCCAATATGTCGAATTTTTTCATTGTTTTGTCTGTTAATGGTGATTGATCTATGATCTATGATTGGGGGTCTTTGATGTTGCTATTGTAATTGTTTTAGGGCATGGCATATACCCATATAAGACAGTGAACTTAATCAATAAGCATTGTGTGTATCTGACTGCTCCATTGACCAATTATTTTCCTGTCTTTCTCCTTCTCCTCGGGCCTCTGTATTTCCTGAGACACATAATATTTAAAGTAGGTCAGTTAATACCCTACAATGGCCTCTAAGTGTTCAAGTGAAAGATAAGAGTTGCACATCTCTCTCTTTAAATCAAAAGATAAGAAAGGATTAAGCGTAGAGGGGAAGGCCTGCCGAAAGCCAAGATGGGCTGAAAGCTGGGCCTCTTGGGCCACAGAGTTAACCAAGTTGTGAATGCAAAGGTAAAGTTCTTGAATAAAATTAAAAGTGCTACTCCAATGAACACGAATGGTAAAAAAAGGAAAACAGTCAGCCAGCTCTAGCTAAGGTAATTGACAATAGCATCTATACTAAACAATAGATTGTCAGTGTAGATAAAACAGCCTTCTGTTGGAAGAAAATGCCATCCAGGACTTTCCATTGCTAGAGAGGAGAAGTCAGTACCTGGTTTAAAAACTTCAGAAGATAGGCTGCCTCTTGATAGACGATGATACACCTAGTGACTTAAAGTTGAAGCTAGTGGCTATTTACCATTTTGAAAATCCTAAAGGCTTTAAAAATAATGCTAAAACTACTCTGCCTGTGTTTTACAAATAGAACAACAAAGCCTGAATGAAGCACATCTGTTTACGGCATGGGTTACTGAATATTTTAAGCCCTCTGTTGAGATCTGCTGCTCAGAAAAAAAGATTCTTTTCAAAATATTGCTGCTCATTGTCAGTGCACCTGGTCACCCAAGAGCTCTGATAGAGAAGTATAAGAAGATTAATGCTGTTTTCCTGCCCGATGACACTATCTATTCTGCAGCTCATAGATAAAGGAGTCGTTTTGACTTTCAAGTCTTATTTAAGAAATATATTTTGTAGCTGGGCATGGTGGTTCACGCCTATAATCCTAGCACTTTTAGAGGCCAAGACAGGCAGATTGCTTGAGCTCAGCAGTTCGGGACCAGTCTGAGCAAGAATGAGACTCCATCTCTACTAAAAAGACAAAAACTTGCCAGGCATTGTGGTGGGTGCCTGTAGTCCCACCTACTTGGGAGGCTGAGAGAAGAGGATCACTTGAGCCCAAGAGTTTGAGTTTGTTGTGAGCTATGACAGCACCATGACACTCAACCCAGGGTGACAGAGTGAGACTTTGTCTCAAAAAAAAAAAAATTATATATATTTTATAAGGCTATAGCTGCCATAGTTATTTCTCTCATAGTTCTGGGCAAAGTAAATTGAAAACCTTATGGAAAAGAGTCACTATTATAGATGTCATTAAGGACATTCATGATTCGTGGGAGGAGGTCAAAATGTCACCATTAACAGAGTTTGGAAGAAGTCGATTACAACCATCTTTGTTTACTTTGAGAGAAGTTCACAACTTCAATGGAGGAAATAACTGCAGATGTGGTGGAATTAGCAAGAGAACTAGGATTAGAACAGAATTAGAAGCAGAGTCTGATGATGTGACCACATTACTGCAATCTCATGATAAAACTTGAATGGTTAGGGTAAACAAAGAAAGTAGTTTCAATCCTTTTCTAGTTCATAAACATGATGATTGGGTTTTCATGTGCGTGCGTGAAATGTGCCTCCGACAAATCTTGTTACAACGTCAGCACATTACCTGTCAGATGTGAAGAAAAACAGTTTCTTGAGGTGGATTCTCTTCCTGGTGAAGATATGAACATTGTTGAAATGACAAGAAATTTACAACATTACATAAACTTAGTTGATGAAGCAGTGGAAGGGTTTGAGAGGATAGACTCTAATTTTGAAAAAAGTTCTACTGGGGATAAAATGCCATCAAACAGCATCGCATGTACAGAGCAATCTTTCATGAAAGGAGTCAGTGTAGTGACCTACTTCATTTTTGCCTTATTATCAGAAATTGCCACAGCTGTCCCAATCTTCAGCAGCCACCACCCAGATCAGTCAGCAGCCATTAACATCAAGACAAGACCTTCCTATTAGCGAAAAGATTAGCATTTTTGCAATAAAAAATACAAAACAATTTTTTTGTCAATTTTTCACACATAGCATTGATACTGTTTTTTTTTTTTTTTTTGAGACCGAGTCTCATGTCACCCTTGGTAGAATGCTGTGACATACCTCACAGAACCCTCAAACTCTTGGGCTTAAATGATTCTCTTGCCTCAGCCTCCCAAGTAGCTGGGACTACAGGTGTCCACTATAACACCTGGCTGGTTTTTTTTTTTTTTTGTAGTTATCCTTGTTCTAGCAGGCTTGAGCCAGGTTTGAACCCACCAGTTTAGGTGTATATGGCCGGTCCCCTAACCCCTGAGCATGGGTGCTGAGCCTTTTTTTTTTTTTAAAGAGATAGGGTCTTGCTCTGTCACATAGGCTGGGGCAGAGTGGCATCATAGCTCATTGCAGCTCCAAACTCCAAGGCTCAAGTGGTCCTTCTGCCTCAGAGTAGCTGAGACTATAGAAGTGTGCCACCATGCCTCATTAAGTTTTCTTTTATTTTGTGCAGATGGGGTCTTACTGTGTTGCCCAGGCTGATCTGGAACTCCTGGCTTCAAGGAATCCTCTCACTTTGGCTTCCTAAAGTGTTGGGATTACAGGTGTGAGCTACTGCAGACATAATGCTGTTGCTCACTTAATAGACCACAGTATAGTGTAAGTGTAATTTTTATATGTGTTAGGACATCAAAAAATTCATAATTCTTGTGATATTAATTTTATTGCAGCAGTCTAGAACCATACTCACAGTATTTCTGAGGTATGCCTGTGTATGGAAATCATTTGTACAGTACCTGGAAAATGATTAGTGCTTTATCTGTTAAACTGTTCCCTGGTTCTTTGTGAAAGATTACATTTTTTGCCCCTGAAGCAAAAAATGGGGGGCTTTCTTGTATGTTCTCTGCCCAAAGAAATAGCTCCTGTTTTGATTCTTGCTGAGATTGCTTCTAGGATACCAAGCCTTTTATTTCACTAATAGAAATTATTAAATACTTAGATACCACAGAGAAAGCAGAAACCTATTTTACCAAATGCAAGTAATTGAAAGTAGATGGCTATCACTGAAACCTTTGGAAAGAGGGCCCTACTGCACCCCCTGGCCTAGAGGAACGGGGCACCACCTGGTGGCCCACAGTGGGCTGGGCAACAGCTGCTATTGCTGCTGTTGCCCTTATTGCCCAAGCCCGTTGAGGTGGGCAGCTGTACTTTTTATGATGCTGGGTTTTGCAACTACATCAACTCTCTGTATTGGAAGTTGGCCCATAATAGCAGATGCTGTCCCAGAGCTGCTGTCCCTAATCCCAGCAGCTGAGGAATACTGCCTCTGAGGAGTATGGGGACTGGACCTGAATAGAAGTGCTTGGAGGGAAGAAGTCAGTTGGTTTGGAGGACCTGACCCTAGAACCCCCTGCGTATTTTGGGTGACTCAGTGCCCAATGTGGACCCACAGCTTGTTTCATGCTGAGGCAGTCTGGTGTTAGAAATGAAAACAAGTCCTTCCCACTCTGATCTGCCTCAGTGGCAAGTCACTTGGCCTCTCTTCTTGGTTGGAAATGGGGCTGCTGTGCTGTGCCTTCCATGTAAATGTGTGGAGTAGGTACATCTGTGCACTGTCAGAGAGGTGCCCTCATCCAGCTCTGCTGGCTAGGGTAGGTCAGTGTTGGTGCTCTTTGGATTTGGATATTTTGCAAATCCTGGCCTGAGAGGGCTGGTCGGTACAGGCAGATAACTGTGACCAGCTATAGGGGGAACTGTGAGTCCTCCCACCCCCCACCCCCTCCATGGAAGAGGGATGTCCAGGACCCCTTGGCTCTAGCATCAGTGGTCTTTTCTAGGTGTTTGTTCGGAAGCTCCGGAAGGCCTATGGGAAGAGTGAGTGGAACACTGTGGAGCGTCTGAAGGACAACAAGCCTAACTATAAACTTGACCACATCATCAAGGAGCGGTGAGTCAGCCCCTCACAACATTGCTTTCTCAGCCTGGGCAATATAGTGAGAGCCTATCTCTAAAAAAATTTTTTTTAATTAGTTAGCTGTTGTAGAGTGTGCCTGTAGTCCTAGTTAGTCAGGAAACTGAGGCAGGAGGATCGCTTGAGTCCAGCTGTTTGAGGCTGCACTGAGCTATAATCATGCCACTGTATTCCAGTGTGAGCACCATAGTGAGACCCTGTCTTTTAAGAAAACAGAGCACTGCTTTCTGTTCATTCACTGCTAGGCCCTGTTTTAGCACTGTGGATGCAGTTGGGGATAAGACCAAGACCCTGCTCAAAGAGCTTGCATCGTTTTGGAGGAGGCAGACCAGAAACCAAACTATAATGATGGCAAGTTGCAGAGAGTGCCATCAGGGAAGTAAAAGTATGAAGGGAAGTGGAGGAGGTCTGTTAGTTAAAGACTTGTCGTAAGAGGTCTCCATGAGGGGAGATATTTGAGCAAGCTGAGGGAAGCATATTCCTGGTAAAAGCAAGAGTAGATGCACAGGTCTTAGAGTGGGAGAGAGCCAGGGTATGGGGCTGCACATAGGGTATGTGGTGAGACCCGGGAAACATGGTAGACACCTCTGGTCTGAACCACTCTAGCCTTCTCAGAAGTCCCTCTCATTCATTAGCTAAACCAGTGATTCTTAACCAGCAATGATTTTTGCTACTCTAGGGGACATCTGGCAATGTCTGGAGACACATGTTTCTCACCACTTGGATGGGTGTGCACAGGAGGAAAGCAAGTGCCTGGCCCCCTACACTAGCTGGTGGTTTGTGGTGTTCTCATTCCATATCACTTCCTGCCCCTTAAAGAAAGAAAAGCAGTTGGCCCAGAAATGGCCAGTGTTATTTTTGCATAAAGCCTAGGTACTTGTCTGCTGGGTGGTGACTTAGGAAACCCATGAGGCACCAGAGGGGCCTGATAGAGGTTCTTGCTGCTGTACCGCAAAACTAGACACCTCACTTCCTACTGCCTTATGAGAGTTCCCTACAGTCCTCACTTTCATCTTGGTCTGGGTTTAAAGACCTGGAAGACATTTGACTTGTTGCAGTAAGTGATGTCTTTAGGGCTAAAAGGACCTTGGGTGATGTCTGTCTCATGACTTGTAGAATCTTTTTAATATTTTTTTCCTAGACAGGATTTTACTCTGTTGCCCTGGTCTAGAGTGCAGTGGCAAAATTACAACTCACTGCAACCTTGGATTCCTGGGCTCAAATAATCCTCGTGCTTCAGCCACCTGAGTAGGAGGACTATACATGTGCAATACCATGCCCAGCTATTTTTTTCTTTCTTTCTTTCTTTTTCTTTTTTTTGTAGAGACAAGGTCTTGCTATGTTACCCAGCTGTTCTCAAATTCCTGGGCTCAGGTGAACATCCTGCCTCGCCCTCCCACGGGATTACAGGCATGAGCCACTGTTCCTGGCCCAGAGTCCTTTTGGAATACTAGAACCCTGTTTTCAAAGGAAACTTCCTAGAGGGCAGTTTGGATGCCAGAGGCTCTGGCTGCAGATATGGCTGTGGGAGGGAGGGAGGCCTGAAACCCTGTCTTCTTGGGCCCCAGGTACTTTTTCTAGGAAGCTATAAGAACCCAGTTTTAAACCAGCAGTGTAGTCTAACAGTGTCATTTCCCAGATGAAACTGGGGCTGGGTGAGTCCAGGTGAGCCACCCTGGGTCACAGCTCAGAATGGGACTGGAATGAAGGTGTCATTGCTGTTGGTGTAGTATTTTCTCCATGCCTCACACCTCTGTCCTTTCTTGAGGGCAGCCATAGTAGAGGATCCTGCCCGGGGGCTAATTCTCATCAGCTTCCTGGTTACCACCAGATTCCTGGAAGCATATTCTTGGCTCTGGCTCTTCTTGACCCAGGACCCTTTTTTCTAGGTGTCATTGGTTCTGCTAACTAGACAGGTGTCTGGGTGGTAAGAGACACAACATAACCCCTGTAGTGACCTGTGACTAGGCCCAGATTAGTGCTCTGAGGGTAGACAGCTCCACCTGCCTCCCTGGCCTGCTGGGGCAGCTCTGTATTTTTCTGTTTTCCACCTTCTAGTAGATTTTCTTTGAACTAAAGTTTCCACCTCAAGATGAATCAGAGAGCCACCGACTTCATCTACTCTCATTCACCACAAAATACAGAAGTGGGTTGAGGCTTGGTCTTTGGTGAGCAGTGAGTGTCTTAAGGGCTCCTCTCAGGATTTCTCTGGTTCTGTTAGTGGGTTCCTCCCAGGGCTGCAGTCAGCTGTGGGGACACTGCTACTGCCAGGTCAGGGAGAGGCAGTGGTAAAGCTTGGCTTACGGGATGGGCTTTTGGGGCCTGGCAGGGTCAGGACACCCTTCGGAGGAGCCCAGGCTATACTAGTCTTGAGCACTCCCTTCTTGGCCATGCAGGTACCCCACGTTCATTGACGCTCTGCGGGACCTGGACGACGCCCTCTCCATGTGCTTCCTCTTTTCCACTTTCCCTCGGACTGGCAAGTGCCACGTGCAGACCATTCAACTGTGCCGCCGGCTCACTGTGGAGTTCATGCACTACATCATTGCTGCCCGTGCCCTGCGCAAGGTGAGCCTGGGACCACCTGGTGGTTGGCCTGCCACTGCTGTGCTGCCCTTTGGGCTTCACTGTGCTCTACCCCTCCACCCCCTGCCCAGGTCTTCCTGTCCATCAAAGGCATCTACTACCAGGCTGAAGTGCTGGGACAGCCTATTGTGTGGATCACACCCTACGCCTTCTCCCATGATGTGAGTGTGCCTGTGAGGAGGGATGTGAGCTGGCTCATAGGGGGACATGGAGGAAGGGGGGATTTTGCTCTCCTTTGGAGTCCAACCAGGTTCCTGATTATTTGCAAGGGATGGGATGGGATGTGGGGAATGTGCTATAGGTCATCAAAGTTAAGATCAGGAGCCCTAAGCCAGTTATAGCATCTTCAGTTTCCTGACTTTGGACATGTTTCTTCACCTCTCTGTGCGTCAGTCAGTGGTATCTGAGCCTTGTCGTGATGATATAAGGACAAAACCTTAACACTGCCTGGTGCTTGGCCCTATAGGGTGCTGAATGAACAGTAAGGGCAGCTGCCATGGGCCTTGCCTTGCCTCCTCACCTAGCACTGTGCAGTGCCACTGCAGGGACAGTGGCAGAACTGTGCCCTACCCACAGATTCACTGGGGTCTTCACCCCCCACTTGGCCCCTGGCAACTGCCTAACCTTGGCCCAACTGCCTTTTTCCCTCCTGTTTCCTCCTCCCTGCCATGTCTGCCCTACAGGGCTGAAGGATTGGCTGGTGCTAGGAAGAGTGAACACAGAGATGCGCTTAACATGTGGCTCTTACTTTCATTGCTCTTTTAAGTCCTGGGATTTGTTGGTAGGGATCCACAGAAAGAAATCCTGGTTTTGCTTCTATACGGTGATACTATTAGCCCCTAGTCCATCAGAGGTCTCTGCCAGGCTCCCTGCCTGCCTCTATGGGCTTGCGTTTGGCCCAACTTCCTGCTTATTCCCTGAGTGGGAAATGATTCCTTCAGCAGAGAGCAGATACTTCCAGCTTAGCTGAACAGTGGCTTCCAGCCTAGCTGAACTGCCTGGTTTATTGGGTGCTCCATGGTGAGTCGAGTTCTCCCATCGTGCCAGGCTGGTGGGGTGGAAGGGCCATAACCTGCCCTCACTGCATGGCTTCTTGGTGGTGAGGCTGTGGCCTGTTTGTGCGTAAGAGGCGGGCTTAGCCCACAGCTGTCCCTGCTCCCGCTCCCTGGGGCAGGCCTGTGACTCTTTGCTCTTTCCATTTCCTCCTCCTTCCTGCTTTCTTCTCTGGCCCTCTCTGTCCTTCCTTTTCTCTGATGTCCCACCTCTGTGCTGCTCAGACTGGTCTTTGTATGTGCTTCTGGGTAGTGAATAGGGCCCTGTGGAGGGCCGGCCTCCACACAGCTGGCCCTGGGGGAAGGGAAGAGTCCATCCATTCCTCCTTCCTTTCTGGCCAATTTGCTGACACTGGTTCCTCTTGTTAGAGGATAGGGGACTGGTACTAAGTCATGGCAGGAACCCTGGTGTGCCCCTTTTTGAGTACCTAGTGTTGGGCAGGCCAGTAGTGGGAATAGGGGTGCTCTGCTTAGTGCTGTGTTATGGGAAGTGGGTTAGTGCCCACATGTGCCCCCCCCAGGCCCATCAGGGTCCCTGGCAGATTCTTATGGAAGGCTGGGGATGTGTGCAGGGACATATACAGCACCTTCTTGGCCCCTGAACCCCCATAGCACATGGCACTACCTGGCAGGAGAATAAAGAACCAGCTCAGAGTCACTCCTGGTGATTGTTACTACCAGTGTTGCCATTGCTTAGAATACCCTGCCATGTCCCAGAGGTCATGAGGTCTAGCTAGGTTGGTCTCTCTGATTTTAAAGGGCAGTGTCACTCAAGTAACTAGGTACTTCTGTCTGGGTCTCAGATCTTTGCCCCATTTTGCTTTATGAAACTCCTCAAGGGCAAATGTCTCCTCCTTGCTGGGTTGGCAACTTGGGAGGGTGGCTTTTATGTTTTTACCCTAAGCAAGTAATTTCTGTACCTACCATTTCCCAAGAGCTCCCTGGGGCTGAACCAGGCCAGCTGCCTGTGTGTATCCTGGGCTCTTGGGTTGTGCTTCTTCCTGGCTTGGGTCTGAGGAAGAGTTGCTGAGTTCTGAATGCCTGTCTCAAGGCCCTTGCTAGGGTGTGGATGGGCTGAGCCGTCTGCTCACTATTCTTAGTTGGGCACCCAAGGCACCTTAGTCACCCAAGGTTTCATTGGCCCCTCCTCTGGGTTGGTGCTAGGCTCTTGGAGGGCTGTGCTTCTGGCACTCACAGGCTAGCCCTAGAGCAGACATTAATCAAAGATTGTGGAATGGGGGTGGAGAAGGAATGCCCTCTGACTAGGTTGAAGAAAGCAGTTTACCAAAGGATGAAAGTCTGAGTTAGACTTGAGGAATAAGGGGGAGAGCTGGTACAGGGGAGGGGAGGCCACTGAGCTTTCTGCTAGACTCCCCCTTTATGGCATGGGGATCTGGCCTCGTGACCTCTACGTAGACCCTCACGCCTCACTTGTCTAGCATGCCCCTGGGTAGGGACATTCTGTGTTGCCTTTTACCTAGAGTAGCATTCCAAGGGTAGGGCTTTTCTCAAGGGGCTTGAGGTCCTCAGGTAGGTCAGATATCCCCCTCCAATGTGGATTGCCCATTCCTTGTGCGTCCCCTAGCACCCAACAGATGTGGACTACAGGGTCATGGCCACCTTCACTGAGTTCTACACCACCTTGCTGGGCTTTGTCAACTTCCGCCTCTACCAGTCACTCAACCTCCACTACCCACCCAAGGTAGGACCCAGCCCAGTGCCTTCTGCCTGAGTGTTGCAGGGGTCACAGCCTTCTCCACATGGAGGTGAAGGGCTATAGGTGTTTTCATCCCTCTGACTTTCCCCTTGCCTCCCAGCTTGAGGATCAGGTTGAAGCAAAGGTGAAGGACAGTGAGGGCACCTATGCACTGGACTCCGAAAGCTCTATGGAGGTAAGAAAGGCTTTTCTCCAGGGGGTGGCCCCTGTCCCCAGTACCTCTGGGTGTCTGCCTGAGTGGACTAGCTAGACCTCATGCCTAGAACTGTCACAGTTGCCCCTTCTCCACCCTGGCCACACACTAGACAAGGTCCCCTACCTACCAGCAGCTGCCCTGCTTCTGTCCTGTAGAAACTGGCAGCCCTCAGTGCCAGCCTGGCTCGAGTGGTGGTACCTGCCATTGAGGAGGAGGCCGAGGTGGATGAATTTCCTGCTGATGAGGTGAGCGTTGTGCTGCCTTCTGGAAGGAGGTTGGAGGAGAACTGGGAGCTAGTATCTAGAAGATCTAGGATCTAGGAGGAGCTGGGGAGAGTCCTGTCCAGCCCAGGCCCTCCATTGATGGTTCAAAGCCTGGTCCCTTTCTCAACAGGAGATAGCTGTGCGGGAAGAGGACCACAGAAAGGAACTGGAGGCACAGGAAAAGCATAAGAAGCTCTTTGAGGACCTGAAGTTCTTCCTGAATCGTGAGGTGCCCCGTGAGGCCCTGGCCTTCATCATCAGGTAAGGAAGCTGGAGGGCCAGCTGATAGCACTGGCTCTGTCACCCTTTGGTCTGGGCCCTGCCCTATATGCTCATAGGTAATATTGGCACGGCATCATGTTCCACTTCTTGCAAAACCGTTTATGGAAAGTGCAGGGCATCAAGCACGTGTGAAGCACTCAGCAGAAGGTAGTGCTGCTATTACCTTATCATCAGCTCAGGGCAGAAGGATGGGCAATGGGTGAAAGGGCTCCACTGAGCACAGACAGGAGAATTCTAGGTTGAGGAGGGGGCAGCTGTGTCCTAGAAGTGTGAGTTTATGGGCTGGGCTGCCAGCAGATAGGGCAGGTACCTCATGCCTGGGCACTGTGTGGGCTCTTTTTCTGCCTATTAGGAGTTTTGGGGGGGACGTATCCTGGGACAAGTCTGTGTGCATTGGAGCCACCTATGATGTCACAAACTCCTGCATCACCCACCAGATTGTCGACCGGCCTGGGCAGCAGACCTCTGTCATTGGCAGGTGGGCCCCTAAGACCTTTGTCTGGATCTCTGGGTATAGAAGTCTGTCTCGGAGGGATGTAGTAGGACCTTGAGTTGCCCTTTGTAATCTGTCTTTGCTCACCACTTTGTACCAGGTACTATGTGTAGCCTCAGTGGGTGTTTGACTCTGTGAATGCCCGGCTCCTCCTCCCGGTGTCAGAGTACTTCCCTGGTGTGAAGCTGCCCCCACACCTTTCACCCTTCGTGTCTGAGAAGGAAGGAGATTACATCCCACCTGAGAAACTGAAACTGCTGGCTCTACAGCGGGGAGAGGATCCAGGTGAGCAGGCAGGGGCCAGGCAGTGAAGTGGACGGGGCCCTACTGGGCTGGCCTTGGCCTCTGGGCCTGAGCTAGCTGTTTCCCTTGGCTGCAAAGGTGGCAGGCTCTGGTGAGTAGGGCAGCAAGAACAAACAGGAAAAGCTTAGGAGAAGCTTTTACATGCTACAGTCAGGTGTTATTTGACGTTTGGAGTAACTGAGCAGAAAAATGGTTATGATCAGTATTTACACAGGTGTCAGAACTCAGGAGTAGGTCTTAGAGTTTCCTTGGACGGCATCTGGAGCTGTGGGGAGGTGCCAGAAGGGGCCACAGTTGGAACTGAACTGTCTTTGAAATGTCCCTGTGGCTGAAGACAGCAGGGTCAAAAGGGATGGTGCCAGGGCTTATTCTTACCTTGTCATGGAAAAGCAGTCTCTTTGGGCATTCAGAAGGTATTGGCTTGTTCTGGTCAACATAGTAAGATGCCATCTCTACAGAAATTTAATAAATTAGCCAGGTGTGGTGGCACCCACCTGTAGTTCTACCTCTGAGGCAGGAAGATTACTAGACACCGTGAGTTTGAGGTTATAGAGTTATGATGATGCCACTATATTCCAGCCTGGTTGACAGAATGAGATCCTGTGTCTTTAAAACAAGTTATTGGCTGTCTGTAGGAAACTTGAATGAGTCTGAAGAAGAGGAGAAGGAGGAAGACAATGAAGGTGATGGCAATGAAGGGGGAGAAAATGAAGAAGAGGAGGATGTGGAGACTAGTTCAGAAAAGGAAGAAGAAGCGCGACTGACAGCTCTTGAGGAGCAGAGGATGGAGAAAAAGGTATGGGGTGCTGGATTGGGGGTGCAGCCTGGGGCGGATCTCTGCTTGGGGTCTGCCCTGACCCAGAAAGGCAGGAGCTGGGGGACTGTTGTGGGAGGGCCATCTGCCCCCATGAGTACCCAGCTTATGTCTCTAGAAGCCCCAGGTGATGGAAGGCACCATGAAGCTGGAAGACAAGCAGCGGCTGGCCCAAGAGGAAGAGAGCGAGGCCAAACGCCTGGCCATCATGATGATGAAGAAGCGAGAGAAGTACCTGTACAACAAGATCATGTTTGGCAAGAGGCGCAAAATTCGCGAGGTGAGTCCTGGCCACCTACCAGCGACCTCAGGGCCATGGGATGTGGCTTTCGGGGTGAACTTAGCTCACTGGCTCTCCTCTGGGCAGACTCTGTGTCTTCCACTGTTTTCCTGAGGTTATCTGCTTGTCCCTGTCCATTCAGGCCTGTGTAGGCTTCTTGATACCAGGAACTCTGGCCCTGGCTTTCGTGGGGGCTTCAGTCCCTTTCCTGCATCTGGTTGTTCCTCAAACTGCTGGGGTCTGGGAACAGAGTTGCCTGGCAGATTCAGGGACTGTGGGAAGCTTTTGTTAAATTTCTTTGTTTTTTTTCTTGTTTACAAAGCCACTCATGCTTGCTTAAAGGAAAAAAAAATTGCTGTGTGCAGTGGGTTATACTTGTAGTCAGTCCCAACTACTCAGGAGGCTGAGGCAGGAGGATTGCTTGAGCCCTTAAGTTCAAGGCTATAGTGAGCTGTGATCACACCACTGTACTCCAGTCTAGGCACCAGAGCGAGACCCTGTCTCACATACAGACATATCTAAATAAACAGACAAATTCATGTACCCCAGAACTCTGTAATGGGTAGTACAGAAGTGGCTCACAGTCCTGCTGTCAGAATGGAGTTATCTGTAGTACCAGTCCCCAGGCTTCTCTTTTGTTTATTACAACATATTTCAAAGTATGATTTTTTTAAATTGTAATATAGTCTTCTTTTCATGGTAGTGTATAATGTGTGGCCCAAAAGACAAGGGTGGGACATATTTTCTCACCCTGCAAAAGTGGGTCAAGTAGACTTTTCCCTGTGAGAGATTGTCCATGAGATTTTTTGGAAGCTTGAGAAGGAAGGAATCTCCTTCCCTTGCCCTTGCTCATACACATCCCATCCTGATTTCCCCCTTCTTCCTCACAGGCCAACAAGCTGGCAGAGAAGCGGAAAGCCCATGATGAGGCCTTGAGGTCTGAGAAGAAGGCCAAGAAGGCAAAGGTGGTGTGAGCACTGGTGGCCGCTCACTGGGCTGAGATCAGTTCCTGGCAGCTGGATGTGAAAAAGGCAGGCCAGAGGACCTGAGCTTGGTGACAGACCAGAGTCACCTCTGCTCTCATTCTCTTTTTTGCCATGGCCCCTTCATGCTCTCTGCTTGAATCTGTGGGCAGCTCTGGCCTCCCTTGGATGGTGGCTGGGCAGAGGAGAAGCCTGTGTACCCACCCTGGTTCTGTGCTTCCAGTACAGCTGGATACAGGGACCTGACCAGCCCCTCACCTGCTGCCCTCATTCACCTTGCTTTTCACAGCCCTCCACCCCCTAGGGTTGGACTCATGCTTCTCCGGGTGCTATGATGGGGTGGGGTCAGGGGAGTATTTGTTATTAAATGGCTGGACTTTTGTAGTCAGTAAGATTCTGTGTTTATGAAGCTTCCTGAGGTTGGAGAAGGTCCAGACACCTAGTGCTCTGGGTATTTACTGGTGGACCCGGGCTTGAGCTCTGCAGCTGGTCAGACCTTGGTTCACATTATAGTCCCAGTATTTTCCCTCTGTGAACTTGATTCCTCCTTTGTAAGTTATTGGTAGACATTCTGGAGTCTTTTCAAAGGGATGTGTTGAGGGTTCAGTGATAACCTTTATAGACTCAGTAGTGTTAGATATATAGTAAGTACTTAGTAAACACCAACTGATTTTCACTACTTCCTGGAGTTGGCTGAGAAGGGAAAAGCCAGAGCTTGAAGGATCTGTGGGGCCTGAGGGAGGTACCTCCCTTTCTTGCTCTTGTGAGGTCATGGACAGACCCTCTGAATAACTCCTGGGGTGGGCACTGCCCAGCAGCCCAACCTATGCCCTTTGTAGGACTTGCCTTACAGTTGCCCACCTGACATTGGCAGTACCCTGGCTGAGGCCTGGGGGATAGAAATGCCCTTGTCTGGGACTGTGCATCACAGCAGAGCCAGGCCAGAACCTGAGGCTCTGGGTGCTCACTTTGAGGCCCTCCCAAGACAGCCTCCTCAGGGTACCCTTGTCCAGAGCTGGGGCCAGGCTGAGGAAGTATGGGTTTGGAACTGGCTCCTTCTCTTCCAAATTGAGGCACCTGGGCCTGGTTGCCTCTTTCTCACTGTTAGCTGGCTGTGTAGGCAGAGGATGTTCTGTGGTGAGCAGTGGCTGTAGGCCCATCCTACGCCAGCGGGAAGACAAAAGCTTGGGCAGCCTTTGGCCTGGCGAGTAAAGAACCCTTGGGCACCTGTCTCATCTGGGCCTTGTGGTGGTTGGGAGGAGAGGGCTAAGTGCCATGTCAACTTGGGCATGCCCATGGTGGTGGGGTGGGGTTTGCCTCTAGAGCAGGCAGCTCCAATTCTGGAGCCAGAGCTGCAGCCCCAGGGACAGCTTAGACCTGCCTGGGTGCTTGTATATCCCAGGACCACATGGTTGGAGAACAGGCCCATCAGATAAGGAAAAATCTCTGGCAGCCTGCTGATGTGGAATTTTCCCCATTCCAGAGTTACCCAGTAATGGCGGGGGCAGTGGGGCTCTGATGTGGCCCATGTCCCACTGGGTGGCCAGCTGGTTCTGTACTGCCCACAGCTAGAGCTAAGAATTCCTAGCTTTGGGTGCGTATTGTCACCCGTCCTAGGTCCTGCTTCTCTAGGGTAGAGGAAGAAAGCCTGGGCCTGGAAAGTTGGAATGTGCACCTGTGCTCTGGTGGCTCAGCTCAACTCTGATGGGCACCCTGGAGCAATGAGGTCAGCTGAGACCACCAGCCGCAGGACCAGGTGGAACTAAGTCTTTCCTGAGCTCCCTTCAGGGAGCCTGGCCCCCACTCCTCTAAGTGCCCAAAATGTGCTGTCCAGAGTCTGCACTGAAGAGCAGGAGGCCATACCTTCTACTGGGTCCTGAGGGCCCCAGAGCCCCGGCTCCACTCCCCTACCAAGTTCCAGGCATCCTTGAATTTCCACCGGGGCTGGGGGCTTTGCTGAGCCAAAGGGCCGGCGGCGGGACAATGGCCCTGTTGGCGCGTCGGAGACAAACGAGCCTTGTTGGGCCGAAGGCGGGGGCGCAGCTTTGCGCTCCAGCCCGCTGAATGCGGCTTCTGTGCGTCTCGGGCGGGCACCGAGGGGCCGGACCAGGGCGGGGAGGGGGCCCGGGCCTGGGACGGCCATTGGCCACAACGCTGGGGGCCGGGCCAGGCTGGCGTCCGCACCTGGCCGGAACCGGCGCATAGCGGCGGCGGGGCGGGCGCATGGACCAGGCCTGGCAGAGCCGGGGGCCCGGGCGGGTGCGCCCCGCCGCCCAGTGAGCGCCCTGGGCGGCGTGGCCCGGGCTGAGCCAGCCACGCTGAACCCAAGGAGGACGGGGACAAGGTACGACCTGGGGTCCAGCACCCACTGCCATTTGCACCCTGCCTCAGTCTACCTTCGTAGGGGCCCCACTCATGTTACTCCAATCCCCAGACTGCTCCCGGGTCTGGATGCTTCTCTCCATTACTAGAGGGTGGCCTGGCTGGGGCCAGGAAGAGCATCGTGCTCACGCTGCTCTTGGTTCCTTCCCCTGCCCCTCGCTGCCCCTCCTCCGTTCCCAGAGTTTCCCTCAGTCCCTGAAGGTGGAATGGGTGGGGCAGGAGAAGGTTGGCTACTGGGGCTGGGCCAGGGCTGGGAGTGGGTTAATGATTAATCTTGGATGCAAGTGGCTGAGCCCTAGGTGAGGGATCTCCCCCTCTCCCTATTAGCCCTCTTCAAAAGGGAGCATCAGAGCAGACTGACTCTAGGGGTCATGGGAAGAGATGGATCCTTCTTGCTGGGGGAAGCCCTGACCTGTTCTGCACTGGGAGCAAGGCCACCAAGGAGAGGCTTGGGGATGTGGGTGGGACAAACCCTTGTATTCAGTAATGGTCCTATAGAAGTCCTACAGTTCTCCTGTTTCCTATACCAGTCCCTAGGAAGGTAGTCCAACTTGTTTTGCCCCTGTGGTAGCAGAACTTTGGTAATGGCACAGGGCACAGTACAGACTGTGATTCCTTCTCAATGGGGCTATCCTCCCCAACTGCCCAGAGCAGGAGAGTGATGGGTACACATCTGGGTGCTATAACTCACACCAGGGGGAGGGAGAGAAAGGGATAGAAGGTGGCAGGCTGACATCTGATTCCCTAAGTTGCCATGTTGATAGGTGCCATGGAAATTTTCCATAGGGGAGAGAGGTGTGGGAACTATGGTTCAGTTGGGAGTATCCAACCATTGCCTTTACTGAGGGTGTGACCTGAGGCCCAGAGAGGTGGAGTCTTGTCCAGGGCCACCCAGGAGGGCAGGCCTGGGCTAGAGCAGCTCCCATGTGGCAGTAAACCTTGCCCTGTGAAGGAAGCACTGCTACTTATCACTATTATCTGGTGGGGGGGAGGGGAGGGCAGGGGAACTGAGGCTTAAGGAGTTTCAGTGACTTTTCCAAGGTCATACAGTTCAGAGGTGGCTGAGTTGACTCCAACTCATAGGAGTCCTCCCTGGCACCCCTGTCAGGGCCCCAATCCTATCCAGGACCTGTCTGCTTCTCTGGGGTCCAAGCCTCTTGGAACTGCCTAGGCTGCCCCAAACCGTTGGCTCAAGACCCCTCCCCCAATCGTCCCTGGCTCCCAGCTCCGCCTGACACTTGGGGCTGGACAGGCTGCTACCCTGGGAGCAGAGACAACGAAGCCCTGTTCCCAGCTGCCACCTTGGCCTGCTCCATTTGCTGCTTCATTCCCTGCTTCTTGCTCAAACAGAGCCCTTCCTGGAGGAAGCTCCCTGGGACAAAGAATGGTTGCTTCCTGTGCATCCCCTTCCCTTAACAGTCCAATGCTCTCTTGTCACCCACGGAAGGAAGAGTGTGTCCTCTGCAGCCCTTCCTGCCAAGCTCTGAGGGACTGGGTGTGTCACCCATTGAAAGAGGCAATAATTAACCTGGGAGAATGATGCACAAATGGTGGAATTATCTGCATGGCAGCAGGCTTGTGAAGGGCTCCTGGCTTTGCCTCAACTGGGTGAGGAATATGGACAGCCCCACAGCACTCTAGACAAGGCAGAATGGAGTACAAGTGTCCACGGGAAATTGTCAGGTGAAGGGTGATGGTGAGAGGAAGTAGGGGCCTGGAGAATACTTGCTTGTTCACCTGCCACTTCCAGGGCAGAGACCAGGTATGGCTTGAGTACCCTCAGACCTGAACCCAGCAGAATGCTGACTTGCTGTGGTACCCCAGGCAGTTCCTGGATGGGGAGGGTGGCCTTCAGTAAGTCTGTACTGATAGACCCTTCTTACTCTACCAGGTGAGATTGTTAGGATCACAGTAATAATCGGAGGTGCTAACAGTGAGTGTGTGCCAGGCACAAGAGGCTCTGCATGCCTCACAGTAAGCATGTGTGAATGTCACAGCACCTCTATTTTTTTTTTTTGCAGTTTTTGGCTGGGGCCAGGTTTGAACCTGCCACCTCCAGTATATGGGGCTGGTGCCCTACTCCTTTGAGCCACAGGCACCGCCCAGTACCTCCAATTTTTAGAAACCGAGGCTCAGAAAGGGGAAGTCATTTGCCCAAGGTCACCTAGCTGGGGAGTGGTGGAGCTGGGATTCATTACTAGGGGCTCTGGGAGTCTCCAGGACTGGAAAGGTGGGTGGATGGGTACATCCAAGGGGTCATGCATAGCAAAGTGCTCAGTACTTTTTTAAAAAGCATCAGTATTGTTACATGTTTATATGCAAACAAGTGCATAATAATTCCGTAAAAATATTTCAGGCATGTTATAAAATATAGAGAATGACCTTACCAACTCCAACCGTATTTAGCCCTGGAGGCTTTTAGTATTTTTGAGCTAATGAAGAAGTGACTAACTTCTTGGTGAACCTGTGATTTACTACTCCCTGGTTATAGCTATGTTGGGACTACTCAAATCTGTCCTCCAGGCTCAGCGCCTGTGGCTCAAGTGGCTAAGGCACCAGCCACATACACCTAAGGTGGCGGATTCGAAT